TTGTTACATTAGATATCTTTGCGGGATGTGGAGGCCTCTCTGAGGGGCTGCAGCAATCAGGCAAATTTTCTCCCCTTGTTGTCACTCAACAATATCACAGTATCTTCCTTTTGATATTTATCTCAGTGCTTACCTTATTTCCTTCTACAGGTGCCTCACTTACTAAATGGGCAATCGAGTATGAAGAGCCTGCTGCAGAAGCCTTTAAGCTCAACCATCCTGAGGCACAAGTGTTTGTGCATAACTGCAACGTAATTCTTAGGTCAGCCCCCCATAGAGTCTTTCTATATTTATTATATATTCATATGCAAGTCATTCATTCATGTCTATGTATAACTAGCAGGCTCACTAACCAAGTAAATTGCTTTAATGCCAGGGCAATAATGAAAAGATGTGGTGATGATGATGATTGTGTGTCAACAAAAGAGGCCTCAGAGCTAGCTGCTGCCATGGATGAGAATGAAGTTAACAGTTTGCCTCTGCCAGGACAAGTGGATTTTATCAATGGCGGGCCTCCTTGTCAGGTGGGTTTAACCAATCTGGCTTGCAGCCCTTGTATTGTTTTTAATTCTTATAAACTATGAATATCTCTTTTGCAGGGTTTTTCTGGAATGAATAGATTCAATCAGAGCACCTGGAGTAAAGTGCAGTGTGAGATGATTCTAGCATTCTTATCCTTTGCCGATTACTATAGGCCTAAGTACTTTCTCCTGGAGAATGTAAGAAATTTTGTGTCTTTCAATCAAGGGCAGACATTTCGCTTGGCTGTAGCTTCACTGCTTGCGATGGGCTATCAAGTAAGATACATGTTTTTCTAAAACATTGGGAATATGTGTGTGTGTGTATTATGATGTTTCTACATAAAGTTTCTGATGCTATATGTACTTCTGGTCAGGTGAGGTTTGGTATACTGGAAGCTGGAACATATGGAGTTCCACAGGCTAGGAAGAGAGCATTTATATGGGCTGCGTCCCCAGAAGCGGTTCTCCCTGATTGGCCTGAACCCATGCATGTTTTTGGTGTCCCAGAGTTAAAAATCAACTTGTCAAAGAATGTACAATATGCTGCTGTACGAAGTACTGCTAATGGAGCACCATTTCGTTCTCTCACCGTTAGAGATACTATTGGAGATCTCCCTGCTGTTGTCAATGGGGCATCACTACCCAATATGGAGGTCAGTGTAACATTGGTAGTGTTGTGCTTGCTTCTGCTTGTGAGAAGTGATTTACTTTATACGGAGTTGAATATAGAGAGGCTTAATTTATAAGTTGTTACTTGCTAGTGCTTGAAAGTAAAAGTTAAATTTAATAAGTTGGAGTGATTGCCAAAAATGTGTTTTTGGATGTACAAGTAAGATAAAATATTATAAAAAAGTGAAAAGCATTTTTAAATGCCCTTTCTCCTCATAGATTTTTAGTTTTGTAGTATTTGAATTTATTTGAAAAAACTGAAAAGCATTTGTAAATGTCCTTTTGCTGGCAGTATCGAGGTGATCCTGTCTCGTGGTTCCAAAAGAAAATCCGTGGGAATGCAATTGTGTTATCTGATCATATTTCTAAAGAGATGAATGAGCTTAATCTGATTAGATGTCAACGGATCCCCAAGCGTCCTGGATCTGATTGGCGTGACCTTCCAGATGAAAAGGTATTATCAGCATAACCAAATAGGGTTCTCGAGCCATTATTTTTTGGATTTAAACTAATAGTTCTCTGTGGGGTTGTTTGAAGGTGAAACTGTCAACTGGAGAAATGGTTGATTTAATTCCTTGGTGCCTGCCCAATACAGCTAAGAGGCACAACCAGTGGAAAGGGCTGTTTGGAAGATTGGACTGGGAAGGAAACTTCCCTACTTCCATAACTGACCCACAGCCAATGGGTAAAGTAGGAATGTGCTTTCACCCAGATCAAGACCGTATTGTCACTGTTCGTGAATGTGCTCGTTCTCAAGTAAGTCCTTTTTTTAATGGGTACTACTGAAGGACTCAACTCAGTCACCCACTCACCCTTGTGGTCTAACAAAATACTCCGTAGTATTTTACTCAGCTAGATGTCATATGTGTTTGGATTCCACATGGAACCTCAACAGGGCTTTTGGATTTTCAAAAGTGATTTTGATTTTCAATTGCTTATTGTTAATTGTAGTCCAGAAAGCACTTTCAGAAAGCTTCAAAGGTCTTGATTGATTGGTTTAAGAAATTGGAAGGGGAATGAGGGTGGGATTAATTTGTGTTGTTAACCAAACAAGGCCTACAAGTTGGTTTTGCAAAAGCTAATCTGAGTTGTTCTTTGAATGTAACTTTAACTTTTGAATGTGCTCTAAATTCATTCATTCTTAAAGCTATGTTGAGTTGCATCCCAAACAACTTTCACTTTATCGCCCTTCTATCTTTCAAGAACTTCAAGAATGTGTCCAAACACTAATTGCATTAAAATATATTTTTGCTCAACTGGTATTGAAAAATGAAATTCCAATAAACTAACTTTTCCCCAACTGAAACCCAAAATGAATTCTATGTTCAGTTTGATTCTTGGTAAAGTTTGTCAACCAATGTGCTGAGTTTTGTTTACCGAGTTGCTGTAATTATAATTGCAGGGTTTCCCAGATACCTATCAGTTTGCTGGTAACATTTTGCACAAGCACAGGCAAATTGGAAATGCAGTTCCTCCACCTATGGCATATGCTTTGGGGAAAAAGCTGAAGGAAGCCATTGATGGTAGAAATAAGAACACGGCTTAGGTCTTATTTTACTGGTTTCTGAGATTGTATTTCCCATCTGACAAACCAGAGAACTTAAATCTATGAGCTACGTAAATTCTCTTGGTTAGAGGTTATTATTATTTCCTCAATGATTTTTTGTACTAAGAGTTGAACCTTGAGGCAAATGCTTTTTGGAGTTGGTGGTAAATATGTATAAGCAAAAAATGCATGTGGTAGCTTCTGGGGGCACAGCTGGTAGCTTGTTCGGCTATGGAATGGCTACATAGCTGTTGGAGGCGGAATCACTTTTCTGTTATAAAGTTTGCCCCATTTCATTCGTGATCTTTCACTATTTCTATAATTTCAAATTCTCTCAAATTCTTCATCTTTCGTTCTTCCTCCATTTCTACGCATTCTCAAATTCGTATTCTTCATTTCTTGTACTCCGTATTACGTATTATTACAATTGCATATTTACTCTTCAGTTACCATTCTCATGTACGTAGTATAATTATACTATTAGAACAGTGACTAGTGTGATATTTTAAAACACTATTAGTACTAATATTGTCCTTGTAAATTTATTATTATTGTTATAGTAATCATCACGTTTTATATTGCTATTATTTAAATCATCACTTATTGTAATATTGCTATTACATTCTCATGTAATTATAATGTCATAATAGAGACTAGTGTTATATTCCAAACCTTGTTTCTGCGCTACACTTGACATTCTACGAGAACTTGTTCTAGTGATTCTTATTCTTGTTCATACGATCTTTATTTCTCATTCATACTTTTTTATCAATATTGTTCTAAAAATTGCTCTAGGCATCCTATTAGTCTCTATCCATGTGTTAGCTTAACACCCTAATTTTAGTTTAGGCGTTCAAATGATTAGTTTGACGTAGTCATGGACCTGGGTCGGGCCTAGGGTTTTTGGAAGGAGGCCTGGGACCGGCCCGGGTAGCCACCGGGGCCGGGCCGGGCCGGGCCTCGGGTCAATTTTTTTTTCTTTTTCTAATTCCCCCCAACCCCCAAACCACTCCAAATGGCCCAAAATACCCAGCCCAACCTGAAAAGATAAAAAAAAATTGAAAAAAAAATTAAAAAGCCCGGAACCGGGTCCAAACTAGCCGGGCCGGTTCGGCTTTTGGGTGACCCGAGCTCGCATCGGGAGCCACCCGGGCCGGGCAACCGGGCCGGGCCGGTTCAGCACAGTACTAGTCTCGGGTCGGTTCCGGGTCAGGCCACCCGGCCCGAGTTCAAGACTGGTTTGACGCCTAGTTGAATAAATTAGTTGACCTCTAGGGATGTCTAGATTTGCTAGACTTTTTTCCTTTTCTAAGAGAGATATACTAACAAAGGAATTTTAATCACGAATATGAAGAAAATTATTTGTAGATTAGAATAAAATATATACATATTTATATATATTCCTAAGTTTTATTGCTATTTAACATTTATTATATAATGAAGTTAAATGATCAGTTAAATAATTGATCTCAATCAACACAAAATTAGTAACTTGAAAAAGTAAGTTCACAAACTGCCCACTCTACTCCATAAATAAAAATGATGTAGTCATGGATGGATTTTTTAATATTGGAGAATCACAGCGGACATGAATTTATTCATACTTCTTGTAAATTTTATTCGTCATTTGTAATAATGAATAATGTTAAGAACTATATTGCTTCCATGGGAATGTATCTCAATAGTTTCTTCTTGACATTAATTAAGTTCACTTTTATAATGTTTTTTATTATCGACCATTTAACATTGCAAATGAGTAGTATTATGACACGAAGTATAACTTTTGAGATAAAAAAGAAGAATAATCAACATTGATTGCTTGACAATATTGATCAACAAAGATATTTTTTGTAAGGAGAAATGTATTATTCACAAGTTCTTAAAAGATTTCATTAATACACAATATCGACAGTCTTTGAATAAAATACGGAAAGAACAAAAGTAAAGTCACTAGATCATCAATGAGACGATGACTAAACATACGTAGACTACATGTACTAATTTTAGATGGAGACTAACATATTTAAGGAAAAAATTATTTGTACACTCTTATACATGTTTGTGAGAGACTGTTTTTAGTTTGTGAATAGTTGTTTAAAGACAAAACATGATGCTTATCACATTTTCTGCTAGATTTTTCAACCATGATGAACTTATTTATTCTGTAGTGCAGGCTTTTATCCAGGTGTAAAATCTTCCCGATCACCTTATAAAACTATAATTAATAAACATCACATTATGATTCCAAATTTCCAACTAAATCAGGACCAATGACATGAGATTTAGAATCAAAATAAATCATATTAAAGTAAATGAGGAACACGATAATAAACTCATACAAAAAAAATCATATTACAGACTATACAAAAAAAGGGCGTAGTTTGCAATTCTAACAAGGTAAACATACCCTTCTTATAATTACACAGGTGGGCAAAAGTAAAATCTGGAAAAAAACAGGCAGAGCTCATAACAGCTCTATGTACACATGATCACAGGCAAAAGGCATTCAAACAATAAACAATACACAGAGAAATGGGAATGTGGTTGTGAATGAATTTAATCCTCATGTGTATGAGCCCCTGGGCCGCCAGCATTTGCTGAGTTGGAAGATGATTCTGACCCCGCCGCAGAAGTTGAGGGTGAAAACAAACTACTGAATGGCCATGGAATCGGCACTGAAAACTGGCGTCCAGAAACTCCATCTCTGTCGTTTCCACTGCCGCCCCCATCAATGACGGTGGTGTTGATCTCTGCAGCGTTATTGTTGTTGATGTTCCGGGCAGGCCCATTAGGGCCATCATCAAAAGGTAGCTGGTACCTACAGACGGGACAGGAGCTATGGAGATCCAGCCATGGAATGATGCACTCACTGTGGAACTTATGCTTACATGGCATCTCCTTAGCTTCCGATCCGATTTCAAAGTCATCCAGACACACAGCACACTGCAAGGAATCCTCTACTTTGACCACGGGCATTGCCACTACGGCCTCTTTCCGGGCAGGTGGGGTTCCATACCTGCTTGGATCATTGTCGGCCAGCTGCTGCAGTAGCATGTCCAAACCGGGTCCAATGAAGTAATCACCCAAGGAGCCGATATGACGTGGTGGGTCTCCTAAAGAAGAATGGTCATTGTTGTTGTTGCTGCTGCTGTTTGAGCCATGAACGATGATGGACTGATTAAACGGGTTTATCAGAATTACCCGCTCCCTATCCCTATCGTCACCTTCAGAATTTTCGGTTTCAGATAACATTCCGGCTCGGATGCCTTGTAGGAGATGGAGGATCGTGGCCGAGCTCCTTCTCCGCCTCCTACGGATGATGGTGTCCAGTTCACGGTCTAGTTCGGTCTGGTCGCGGTTATGCTCACTAGTAGTATGGTCATCCAACTCCTCATCGTCATCATGATCTTCTTCTTCTAGAAGTTCTATACGATGTCTGAGCCTACTACTAGTACTATGTCTACGGTCACGACGTGGATTGTTGCTCATCATGCCCAGCAAGATGGGTGCCCAAAGGGAAAGTGCTGCACGTTCTGAATCAAACGGGTACTCACTTGTAATACTGCCGCTATCCGCTTGGCCCGTTGCAGTTTCCATTTCCTCCAAAAAACCGCCTTCACAGACGGGGCAATTTAACGGCCCAATTTCCCTCAATGGGTTCACCGCCCGAGAACACCTGTAACACCAATATCGCAATGACTGGGCCTCCTCCTCCATCTTCCCTACTTGATCACTGATCTTGTTCCTTGGTCTTTTCCTATCAAATGCACATTTAGGAATTTTAATGTTACTATTATATGTGCAAAGCATGCTTGAAATGATAAGTGCAACATTTCATATCAAGGACCACTAGGACTTGTTCTCTTTGATGGGGTTCACTATCAGACCAAAACAAAAAAAGATAATATATTAGTTTGAACTAGAACACTTGCACAAATTATATAAATGTGAGATATGTTATCTTCAATTGTTTGTTTGCAGTTGGCCCGGTTTGGTACAGTGTGGTATGGTTGGGCATGGTATGGTAGTAAAATAGGGTGAAGAGAACATGTCATCTTTATTGCTACCAATTAAATTAATTATTTTGAAAATCTTAAAGGTTCCATCTAAAAATAGGAATTCAAATGGTTGATGATACTTTACCATTTTGAAATGCCTGTATGGTCTAGCACTCTAGCCTGGTTCGTTCTGATCCACTGATCCAGATCTAGTTAGCTCTAGTTAGACTGGTCTAGACTGTGTCTAACCAGACTTGGTCTTATGTGAATTTATTATTACATATATATTCATTAAAAATAATGATACTACTCCCTTCATCCCAATTTGATGTTTCTGTTGCGCTTTACAATACTTGACCGACGATAAAGCAAACGGATCCCTGTCCGCACTCTATTTTTAGAGAAAAAAATTATATATTCAAAAATTACATTAAAATCTTTACAAAGTCGCAAACACCTGAATCAAATTTGATAAAAAATTGATATATAAAGTAAGAGATTAAGAGTGATTTGTGTTGACCAAGTGAATAGGAACTGGGAACATCAAATTGAGATGAAGGTAGTATTAATGAAAGTAATAATGTGTATTACTAGTATTATTTTAATAGTTCAAAATACAAATAAAAAAATATAATAATTGTGGTGGTACTAATAATATATACCTCAAACCATCAATCCAAAACTGAACTGAACCAAAACTAACCAAAATAACTGACATTAGTTATTTGGTATGGTTTTTGGATTTTCATTTTCATAACCTAACTAATGGAGGAACACCCCTACATCCAACCATAAAATTGGTGGGAGAATAAGAGTCTTGGTTTGGTAGCTAAACACTTCCTTTTACAACCATTTAAAGCAAATAACCATAAAAACCGGCCTAAGATATCAAACCCCGTAAAAAGCAACACGCCAAGGGTTGGTGGGTGACAAAGAAACAAAAAAAATGATTTTACTTGGCAGAATATCGATGAGCCCATTTAACAAAATAAAGTAATCTGAAAATCCTTTTTCAAAATAAAGATGTTAAAAAGATCTAGGTTTGTGTAAAAAGGAAGGGCATTTTCTTGAGAACAGTAGTCTGGAAATGAAAAAAGCATTAAAAAAAGTATTAGAAAATAGTAAAAATGTATAAATCTCATAAAAAGATCCTCTTTGACTTTGAGTCTTTGACACATTTATAAAAAACAATGAAATGAAATTGTGAGATCGAAATGTAGCACAAAATAATACGGAGTACCACCGACAACAAAAACAACAACAATAAAAGTTGTTAATAATAACAAAATAGAAAATTGTTCAATTGTCAAAAGTAGAAAATAATACTACTACAGGCAGATTTATCAATAACAGTACATCGAGAATAATAGAATATGCTATAAGATGGAGGACATTTTACAGATCAGAGTGAAAGGAAAAGAAAGAGACGTAAAAGGAAGCGCCCATATACATTAACATCATTATTTTGTTCATTAAAAAAACAAGTTTGCTTCCCTGATTTGTTCTTTGAACTGATCAAGCAAGCAATCAAAGCACCCAGCAGCAAAAAGCGTGATTTCAGATGAAGCAAAACGAGAAATTAGAGGTAAAAGAGAAAAGGAATCGGAGGTTTACCGGGCAGCAGCTTCAATTGCGGCCGGGCCTTACTGAGGCCGGAGAGGGAGGGGGAGATGGTAGAATCTCCCGGCCTCCAGAACCTTTTTCTTCTGATCGGATTGATCTATCGAGGCCTGGAATTCTGGTGATGAGAATGGTTGAAAATGGGGAAAGGGCAGAGAAGAAAAGAAGGAATGGAAATGAGTGGGAAAGGGTGGAAGGAAGCTCAAGTCTCTTCTCAGTCATTCATTTCCTGGCCATTCGAATTTTTATTTTTATTTTATATTCCGTATTTATTTGTATCTGCTCGTCGTATACAACTTGCATAGCTGCCTGGCCCCACCAACAAACTGTATTGTCCGCCATTCCTATACCGTAAGAATGACTCCGTACCTCTTGTGAATTACTCCCTCCGTTTCGCAAAGAAAATCACAGTTTGACTTCTCTAGGATTAAAGAAATAAAATGATTTTATTGTAGAAAACACTGTTTAGACACTGTTTGACATTGTTTAGACACTGTTTGGCACTGTTTGACACTGTTTTGAAGTAGATTTCTTTGCCAAATAAGGAAATAAGGGAAGTGTGACTTTGTTTTTGAAACATCCAAAAAAAGGAAAGTGTGACTTTGTTTTCGAAACGGAGGGAGTATTACCCCGTAATTACATAAATTCTCAAGAATAAGGTTATTTTTTTAAAGTACTGATCAAGGATTCTTCATATGCTTGTACAATTTTGATGGTGCTAAGATAAATTTTATATAAATTTTGGAGTATTTGTATTACATGTACAAATTTGGAATGCGTATCTCACACTCCTTAAAGTTTAGGACATTGAAATTATACTAGTATATTTTTCCCTTCTAATAGTTATGGTTATGTATTACTAGTAATATTTTATAGTAATGCTGATAATATGACAATATAGTGTAAATAAGTCACTACCTTGCGATTATTTATAATTACATTAATATGACCAAAATAAAGATGATTTACAAAAATATGATTAGTTACTAGAGTAGTAATGAAATCATAGTAATTCATATTCAAGTTCTGAACTTAAGTTACTGCAACACTACATTGTAGTAATGAATAGTCATATTTATGTAAATAAGTTTTATTTTAGTAATATTGTTGTAAAAACCTTTTTCCCTTTTTTATAAAAATATATTACGTAGTTTGAAAGTCACACATCTCCCTATTTCCATTTTTTTCCACTCCATTTCTCTCTTACAAAATACTAGCCAACCTTTAGTTTTTTATTTTTCTCTACCCCACTCATCATCCTCTCATCTCTCTCACTCTCTTCCATTGAAAATTTCCAGTGACTAGAGAGGAGCTAAATTCTATGAGCCTTACTTGGTGTACCCCATTTTGGGTATCTCATTCGTACCTCACCCCTTGCTAGTGTTGGACCCGGGCCGGGTCGGGCCCGGGCCGGGTCAAGGCCCGGTCGGGCCTCGGATCTTATAATGGTAGGCCCGGGACCGGCCCGGTCAATGACCGGTTCCGGTTCGGGCCGGGCCACCCGCCCGGGTCACGGGTCGGGCCACCCGCCGGGCCGGGCCGGGCCAGTACATTTTTTTTTAATTAATTATATATTATACAAATTGCTATTAAAAACAAAATTCAAGTGCATTTATTTGAAATAAGAACTACATTTGAGAATTGAGAAAAAAATAACAATACGAAATACATTTTGTAATGAATATCAATTGGGATTTCCGCCACCGTTGGTTGTTGTTTTCCCTTTGTCACAGGACTTCATATGTTTTATTGGCCACCACAGTCCGGTCTTCGGGTCCTTCCACTTGTCAAAATTGTTTTGCATAAGGGAAAATGTACTTTCCATATTTAAAATGGTATATGTATAAGTAGGAATGTAGGATAATAAGAGAAGATGAAGATGGAGAAGAGTTTGAGAAGAATTGGAGAAGAGGTGTAGAAAAATGTTAGAAAATAGATGTATTTATAGATGTTTTTGAACCCCACTCCCCACACCACCACCCCGGGACCCCCTGCCCCCCACCCATAGCCCCAACGGCTATATAGCCGTTTGGGAGGTTTGAATTAATTTTTTTTTAAGTTATACACATATTGTAAAATAAATTAATTAATTTAATGAATTAAGTAAAACTAAAACTATTTGTACTTAGAAAAGTGGTTTGATTTATAATTTACAAATGTTACAAAATAGGTGTATAAGTATTTAAACAAATTACATATTGTAAATGTATTTTTAATTTAAAAACCGGCTTTATATTTTAGAAAAATAATTTGAAGTCGTTAGATTGTAACCAATTAATTAATTTGAAAAGTGCTACATATGAAAAAGTGAACACATATTTATTTGAAATATGAAGTACAAGTTTACAAATTAATTTGAAGTACAACTACAAATTTACAATTTTGAAATATGAAGTACAAGTTTACAATTTTGAAATATGAAGTACAAGTATAAATAAATTTGACAAGTGCTATAAAATACATTTTATAATAAATTCTAAAATACTAATCAATCGGAATCTCCGGCATAGGTAGAGCCACCATCGGTTGTTGAGTCATCCATAAAATCTTGGGAGGGGGTGATGCTCAATTCTTGAGTTCTACGTGCGGCCTTCAACCAATCGTGGTAGCATATAAGCGTCTCAAGAGACTCCGCGCTCAATCTCGATCTAGATGCCGTTAGGACGTTGCCGACCGAACTAAATTCTTGTTCCACAGCAACTGTTGAAACCGGCATTGATAGTACTTGCTTAGCCATCCGTGCTAAAATCGGGAACGTTCTTTCTTTTGACTTCCACCAGTCTAGAACGTCAAAGTCATCATTTTCTTCAAAATCAACTTCATATGTTAAATACAATGAAGTAAATAACTAGTATAATGAAAAATGTAACAATAATGGTAATGAACTAATTAACTATTATAATGATAAATGTAACAAGAATGCTAATTAACTAATTAACTAGTACAATACTAGTTATAGTAAGTAATATATAATATAATGTTTATAGTATATAATATATAAGTATACTACTATAAGATGAGTAATACACTTATATTTTATACTACGTACTTTAATATATAAAGTATATATTAAGTAGATGTAGAATGTATGTGTTAAGTGGATATAATAATTGTATAAGAATTAAATATTAGAGTATAATGGAGAATTGGAGATTGGAAAATAAGAAAATAAGTATATAAAAAATAGATATTATTAAGTAGAGAAGTAGATATTATTATGTATTAAGTATATAGTAATAGTTTATAAAGTATATTTAATACTTTATTATATAAAGTATATATTAAGTAGATGTAGTATGTATGTATGTATTAAGAAATATAAGTAGAGATTAAGTAGATAAGAAATATAAGTAATATAGTATATGTATTTATAAGTAGATAATTAATATATAAATAAATATAATAATTGTATAAATATTAAATAGTAAAATAAAATATAAAGGAGAATAAGAGAATTTGAGAAGATGAATATGGAGAATTGGAGATGAGTAGAGAGTAGGATTTAGGGAGAGTTGGAGAAGAGGTGTGAAAAAATGTTTAAAATTAGGAGTATTTATAGGTTTTTTTAACCCCCACCCCCCCACCCCTGGTACCCCCCCCCAACGGCTATATAGCCGTTTGGGAAGTGGCTGTTGAGCCAAAAGGTTTTTTTCAAATTAAAATGAATTTTTTTTTTAAACTGACCGTTAGGCCCGGGCCTGGGCCCGACCCGGTCGGGCCGGGTCTCCAAAAACAGGACCCGAGCCCGGACCCGCTAACCCAACCGGTTCAATGCCCGAACCGGACCCAGACCCGAGAACCGGGCCGGTTCCGGGCCCGCACAGTGACGGGCCGGGCGGCCCGAACCGGGTCCAAACCTACCCCTTGCCTGGTTCAAACGAGCTCAACATCTAAATGAGTTGCCTCACTTAAATGAATTGTCCCATTTGAACAACACAATAGTGGTAAAAATGGAGCAGTTATAATATTTAAATTCTATTTAGATATGTCTGGAAAGGGGTTTTTAACATTTTTCAAAAGAAAAAACTAGTCACTTAAATTTGTTTTTCCCAAATCTAGGAGTGATATTTATGTACATACAGTATTTCTTTTTATACAAGTCATCATAACCATATTTTTGCCGCATTGTAGGTTTGTAACAACCAGTCGACCACACTATATTCTCTTGTTCAGTGTTAAAGTACAATGACTGACAGTATTTCCAGAGTTACCATTATGATCATGTAATTATATATTTATCCTTAAGTTCTAATTTAATCATATTAGAGGAAAGAAAATATTCCATTAATATTACTCTTGAAAAAGTAATGAGCAAAAAAGTGACTTAGTAACTATTAGTTATTATAATTGTGTTCAAAGATTACATCGTAGTAACTAGTCACATTTTTGTCCAGGACCTTTTTATTAGTAATATTTTATGAAAAATCAAATCCCTTGATTTCACTAATACTAATGTCTTGCCGAGAAGCCTACAACTACTCTCCTAGTCATACCATTTTCACGACTCAGACTTGGCTTCTTAGAATCCTCATCATACTTCTGCAAACTTCAACCTAGTTTTTTTTTTCAACACTGCAATAATAATCTGCTACTCTCTATAAGCTTCAATGAGTATAATCTGTATGATCAGTATATATCTCTACAAATCATATATGCACGGTCACTGTACATTGTCACAACCAAAAAAGAACCAGCCGAGAAATGGGTAAAAAAATGAACCCTCCACGGGAAAAAAACGGGCTCAAAATTGCAGCATATTCCTAACAGCCGTCAGTTCCTGCAAATGAAGCAAATTTTAGATTAAATTAAAGAAAAAGAGAGAAGTTACTGAATATCAACTGGAAATGTAGAACTCCTGATGTTGAAGATTAAAAAAAAGTATAACTATGGAATATGATAAAAATCCTGCAGCTTACATCTTTACCCTGAACAGAGTTGCTGACAGGCTTCGGTGAAGCGGTTCTTTCAGGTGAAGGGGTTGAGCCAACAATACCCATGCCGTGATTTTGATTCAACTACAAAAATGGACAAGACAGTTATACCAAAATAAGGGTTTTGAGTATCATACTAATTAATAAAGAACATTTGACATGAACTGATGAACTAACTAATTAATCACAACTCACATGTTTCATATTCAGCATATAAAATTTATGCGGAAAATATACAAGCAGCATCAGTACGTAAGTTTGGGACACAAATTGTGGAGACATGATAATGCTTGGGTGAAAA